TTGTACATCCTTGATTGAGAATATGTAAACATTAAATTGTAACTGATAGCGATACTAAAAGCGAACTCAAATTATGAACTTGTAAGCAAAATACCAACAGACTTTGTATGACTTTACTTACAGCCCTGGATGATTATCCCGTTTCCTGATAATGGCGAATAAAATAGAAAGCTTTCGTAGGCTAGGTATAAATTTCTTGTCCGTTATTCCGGTTCATGTGGTGACTATGGTCTATTGTAACATTACTATTATAAATGTCATTACAGCAACGTCTGCTGCTAGTTCCATTACTTAAGTCTCCAAACATTCGATTTCATCTTGTACGAGCATTGTCTGGAGCTTAAGAATTCCGCATCTTACACCAAAGCGCCCTCTAACAGCTATGACATGTACTACTATAGCGCCCGTTTTTTTTTTTTGTTCTTTTATGTTTGTAAATACATCTCTGTTAATATTACACTTGAAACAATTAATAAGATTTTACAGTAACATGTAGGAGGCGCTACGAGACTTTCGCACTTTGTAAAGAAGGTATTGAATAAGTATCGTTTTCTTGGCGTGTTGCAATTTGTTTGTTATTTATTCTATTTATGAAAATTAAAAGTTCGTACAACCTTTACATCATTACTATTCATTATGTGGCACAGTTTCTTCACACTTTTTACACTTCCCGGTTCGTATTATTAGTATGTTCGTTTCTTTGGAATATTCGCGTAAAGATACAAAATGGTTATCTGTGCTAGCCGTCTCTAATTTTGAACTCTAGAATAGAGAGGTAGTCAACAATACACATTGTCATCTGTTAGGCTACTCCACTACTTAAATAGTGGGACTTGACCATCACTCTTAAAACGTACTCACGGCCCCAAAATGCATGAACACCATTTTGCGGCGACGCGACGCGAGCCGTGGACCCTCAGATCCACGAAGATATTCGAATGATGTTTGAGGAGGCTGAGAAATAACGAGATTCTGAACTTAATGACCAACAAACGGTCCAATATGTTTAATAATTGAAGCAGAGGAAGGCTACAATAGATTAATTACATTTAAGTATCTTACGGTTCCTGCCCCCCTTCTCCCGCCTAATGGCTCAGTAGTAAGTAAGTGCTTATAACACCAAAATTCGGGTTTAGATCCTTGCAATGGACACAGCACAGATAGTCCGTCCATTGCGCAACCTTGTGCTTAAAGAAAAAAACAAACCCAAAACATATATACTTGGCTTTCCAGATCTCTCTCTTGTTTCAAAATCATATCTGCATATCTGCACTGTGGTTCCTCACGTTTAGTAGCTTTGTTATGCCTGTATGCTGACGTACATATTGAAAGTACACTTCTGATTGTGTTATTTATTCTCAAACAAATTGGAACAGGTCACTCACTCATACCGAAGACTAACGTCCTGCTGTAACTCTAGTAACGTGTTCTTACAGTTTATGTGTTAACTTTTTTTCGAATATTAACTGCATGAATACTTTTAAAGTAATGTTTTGTATATTATTATGAACGAAAGAAAAATACTTACTATTGTATTACTAGCGTGTTTAATTAATTCACACTTCTTACCATGAAATAAAAAAAAAACTTCAAAGAAAATTCTGAGGATTCTACATATTTGTACGTGGGTTTACTCAATCCTGGCGAGACGACATCGTGGGTTTACTCAATCCTGGCGAGACGACATGCTTACATTTATATTAGATAAAGACGTTTCCCCAGTATTGGTGAATCGTCGTTTCCTTGGTGAAACGTTATGCTTATATATATTTATCGGATAGAGACGTTTCACTCAACCATAGCTAGAAGTCATGCTTACATATATATATGTCGGGTAGAGGCGTTTCCCTCAACCTTGGATAAAAGCTATACTTACATACATATATATGTCGGGTAGAGGCGTTTACCTGAAGCTTGGATAAAAGCTATACTTACATATATATGTCGGGTAGAGGCGTTTCCTCAACCTTGGATAAAAGCTATACTTACATATATATGTCGGGTAGAGGCGTTTCCTCAACCTTGGATAAAAGCTATACTTAC